TTTCCATGAGATTTCATAGGGATAAAAGCACCCCAAGAAGGAATCCCAACCTCTTCCAAAAAGGAAACAGAATCATATCATGAATTAATAACACTTCACTTCATATTCCACTGATACTCTATCATTTGTATTTTTCTACAGACTGAGTTACTCTGAGTTTCCCCTTTATCCCAGAAGTCATTTGAATAGGAGCATTATATATGGAGATTATGATATTGCACTCCATATGTTTTATGGAAATATGCTTATGAGTGTGAATATGATGTAACTGGAATATGCTTTATGCAAAAAGTCTCTTGTAAGGTATCATAACAAAGGATATAACCTACTGAATATATTTTTCCTATTTGTATTCATGTATCATTCTTGTATCTGAAGCTAGAAATATGATTTATAACTCTGAGGTCCTATTGTAATTATGTAAAGTGTGGGCCATTAATGGTGGTTTAAAATCTTGGTGGCTCCCATTGACTAGGACAATTGGTTGTAAATGGTTTATTTACCTGAAAAACTTCCTGTATATATGCGGGCCAACCCAGGAAGAATGGAGACTAGGGATCTTACAGTGACATGTGACCATGTCACATGATACTGGAATCCATCTTAATCCTTGTACTTTTCCATTGATGAGGCAGGGGTGGGGACAAGCACAGACAAAAGATTCCCGCCTTGTGCCAAAGCTATAAAAGGGGGTGGAGCAGGACAAACGGGGCTGCCAGTCATGAGAAAACCCCTGCTTAGCACCTGAGATGTCTGCTGGAACTAACAAGGACTGTACCGGGGAAAGGATTGGGCCCTAACTAGGAAGGAGTCTAGTCTGTGAAAGAAGCTTATTGGAACATCTTTGAGGGTGCGATATTACCTGTAATCAGTTTCTTAATGTATTAGGCTTAGACTGGTGTGTTTTGTTTTATTTTGCTTGGTAACTTACTTTGTTCTGTCTGTTATTACAGGTCCTAGGACTGACCTTTGGGACACTCCGCTTGATACTGGCTGCCAACTAAAATTCAATAAAATGTTTTTAGAGTGAGAGTCCCTAGTATTGTCTACAGCTGTCTGGCTGGAGAGTAATCTAGAGAGAGATCTAGAGGCCCAAAGATTCATTTAGATAGCGATCTAGACACCTATCTGGACATTTATGGGATCATCCTCCTATCTTCTGGCACAGTTAATGAGAAGGAACTAGAGATAGAGATGTATGAGGTATTTTTAAGAGAGATCACCTGAACTGGAATTGGTTTTGTTGGGATTTCTCCCCCTAGGAAAGCCCCCCTGAACTACAAGCGGCAGCACCTCCTTAGCAGAAGACAGATGTGCCAGAATGCTGGGTTCTGATGGGCTGATAAAGAAACAATGGTACACAAGGGTAATCCTTTGCACCAAGGGGCTGTGATTGGGGGCTAGCTGCAGGACTCGGTAAATATGGATTTCCAGGTGTTATATCTGAGTGCTCTGGTAATCCATGGCCACCTACACAGAGCCCAGCTAAACTGCACACAGCCAACAAAACAGCTCCTTATACATGGATTATTATGGCATTAAACTACATTAAACTACACTCATGCTGGATTTCAGGGACATTACATAGGGGTTCTCAGGACAAACTTTTTGGTGGCCTCAGAGTATGGCCACCAACTCTTGCTGGTGGCCGCACTGACAATTTTTCCTAAAATACTTAATTAGCTTAGGAAAAATAAATATGCACATATACATGACCAAATCATTGTAATTTATCATTGCTAGCTAGTAAGTCTGTTGTGAAAAGTGGTATTAACAAACATACAAGTATTACTTTTCACCGCGGATTTACTCAGCCTGGGCAAGCCTGGGGACAAATTAAGCCCTGGATGGGGGGCCAGGGGAGGCCCGAAGCCCCATGGTCCGAGCTTGGAGCCTGCTGCTGCACAGTTGGAGCCTGAAGCCTGAGTCCCACTGCCCCTGGGAAGGGGGGAATTGACTGGCTGCCTGCTCCTCAAACGTTGTGCCCCAGGTGTCTTCAGGGGGGGGGGGGGGGGCGGGCCCCCCCCCCGCGGGGGGCCCCAGCAACCAACACCAAGATGGTGCATCCAGGAGCACCAGGGAGAGGGAGGGGCCAGTACTTCCTCCCTCTCCCCCCCCTCCCCCCGTCACACCCAGGAGGCTGTGGCCACAAGAAAAGTCCCTGGTGGCCGCATGCCGGTGGCTGCATTTGAGAAACGCTGACATAGAAGCTCATTCTTCACTCCTCCCCCATTCCTGTAAACAATTATGCATGTGCTTAACTTTATTCCCATGCACAGTTCCTCTACCCTCAAGAGTTTGGTGGATCATGACCTAAGTCACAAATCTATTATACTTTCCTGCCCACCCAATCCTCTGTTTGGGCATGAGTAACAGATAGAGATGATGACAGGTGGTTTAGAAGTAATTGGCTTAATCAAGAAGTAATGGGCTTAATGTGCAGCAAGGGAAATTTAGATTAGATATTAAGAAAACCTTTCTACATATAACGGTTAGTTAAACTCTGGAACAGGCTCCCAAGGGTGGTTGTGGAATCCCCATCATTGGAGGCTTTTAAGTACAGGTTGGATAAACCCCTGTCAGAGACACTCTAGGTTTATTTGGTCCTGCCTCAGCACAGGAGGCTGGACTAGATGCCCTCTCAGGTCCCTTCCAGCCTCACATTTCTATGACTACCTGTAAGCAGAGCTGCCTTTACCTGCCTGCTGATCTCATGACTGCATTCATGCACTGAATTCCCCCTCCACTCTGGGGTTTTCACTTCTTTGAGCAGTCCCCTATTTTTCTTGGTTTTAAGCCCTGCCCTTTCCCTAAACATGCCACGCTCTGCTATACAGCCACTGAATTGCAGTGTGGCCATGGCTCAGGCTAGATGCCTGCGTATGTAGGCAGGGGGGGCGGGCAGGATTCTATCTGGTGGCAAGTTGCTATTTTTAGCATGCTAACTCAAGCATCAGCATGTGTCTGTCTATCCTTGCTGGGAAGTGCCCGCCCAGCTGCTGTGCAGACTTAGCCACTATCCTTGCCTGTGAGGACTGGATGAGACTTCATTTGGGGAACCCATTACAGTTGTTTTGCATTTGGTTTCAGCCTTTGCCCTGAACATTACTTAGAGTGACAGCCCAGGGTGATTCTGGCAAAGCTGGTTTGAAGCAGCTTGGTTGGTGATACTCAGCCATTGGTAATCACTTTGTTGTGGGTGTTGTGTGGAGGAGGGTAACTGTCACTAGGATGATTAAGGAGGGTGTAATGTTACTGTGCGCAGCTGAAAGTCAAGAGTTCTCCTCCACACCATGAACAAACAGAAGGTCCAGTTGCTTCCTAGACAGTCTGTCTTGGTGTGGGAGACTCACTGTACCTTTTGCAAAAAATCTCAGGTTGTTTGCAGATTCAAAACATCACGAGCTGGGGTTGCCATGGTGGTGCTGCCAAATAACTACTTGTGTCACTAGGAATGGGCCCAAGGGCTCCATTTAGATCTGCATCTGGAGCCAACTTTCTCCTACATCCAAATCTGGGATTTGGCTTGTCGCCTGTTTGAAGGTATTTCCAGCAACATACGGGATAGTGCCTGTTCATTGTATTCATTCATTAAGGGCAAGGTGGAGACAGAAAGGTGAGATCAGCTTTCAAATCAGCTTGGTTTTCCTCCACTTTTATGAGCGAATTTGATATACAGTTTTTCACTGTATGTCCTGCTCTCATAGCCCCTGTCCACGTGCACCAGTATCCTGATGGTTTTGTGTGCATGTGGCAAGCAGAGGGTAGATGTGCATGATTTACCCCAAAACCCAAGGTAGGGTCCTTCGCAAGAGGATATTAAGGAAGTGTGGTCAGCATGGGTCAAGAGAGAACAACTTCGGATTCATATCAAATTATGAATTTTATTTCTTACTTACATGATTACATACAGGTGCATAGCCCTTTACAAACATCAATGACAATGGATTCTCTGCCCCAAGGAATTTGCAATCTACATTGAAAAGTAGCAGGAAATGTGCAGGGTCAGTAGGAAAACACAAAGAGGACAGTGGTCCAGATCCTCCAGGGTATTTAAGCTCCTAACTTGCATGAAATCAACGTGAGTTAGGTGCCATATCTTTGAGGATCTAGGCCACACTTCTAGAGGGGAGCAAAGACATTTCATTTTATTATAATTAAAATTCCCCTTGCCCTGCGTGCTGCTGACACGATCATAGACATGTAAGGCTGGAAGGGACTGTGAAAAGTCATCAAGTCCAGCCCTCTGAATCAATCACATAGGCAATTCTTGTGCATATAATTGTATAAAAGTTGCTTACTCTCCAGGCTGATGGTGATAATAAATACAAGGAAGTACTGGCTGGATAGACAGAGTCCTCCCTCTGGTCATGTGGGTCCAGATCCTCAAAGGTATTTAGGTGCCTGACTCTCAATGGGAGTTATGTGCCTACACACTTTTGAGGATCTGGTCTGTACACCAAACAGAAGGGAGGAAATGGATACATCAGGTAACAGGCCTTGTCTGCACTAAGAAAATTAGGTCCCATAACTATTGGTGCAGCTCCATTGATGGCAGCACTGGTGGAAACCATGTATGGTCAGATTGCAGTGTTATTACTACCAGGAGTCCTGCTCAGAGTAGCACCCTTAATTCTGCACCTTTGGGGGGTTTAATGCTTGAGGGACTTTAACTCTAACATTCCTGACAGGCAGTATGTCCTCAAGCCACTGATATGGCCCTGCAACCCTGACTGCGGTCTATCTTGGGTACTTATTTGGTCCCATAGGATATAACCACTGCCTCCTAACACTCCAGCGAGGCAGGGCAGGGCTATTTTCCCTATTGTGCAGATGAGAAATTAAGGCAGAGAGTGGCTACATGAGTTGCCCCAGGTCACACAGGAGGTCTGTGGTGGAGCAGGGTCTTGAACCCATGTCTCCCTAGGCTAGTGCCCTAAGCACTTCATCTTAACAAAGTTTTGTATATGAGAGAGAGAGCCCCCCCACCGCCACACCAGAACACCTGATCCAAGCATCTCTGAAATTCGTAGTTCAGATCTATTGTGAGCTTTTAACAGGCCCTGCTCTAGATAATGTGCCAAACTGAAAATGGTGAATCTAAACTTCTTGAATTCTGGTGGAGTCTGGACCTGAGAGCTGAATGTTGCTGCTCAGCCTCATACCTGAGGTGCCATACACAGATATATTTGTCTGAGCTGTGGATGTACTTCAATAGTCTGGCTCACTCTTTATTGCTTGTGGCAGTTCATTTGCTGCTGCTGCTGATGGCTGTGGGCTTTGGAAATGGGCTTTGATCTTACTTAGCTTTCGGATTTTCTTCTCAGAGCTCTGCAGCCAAGAATTGAAGAATCTGCAGAACTTCTGCAGCCCTTTCTCAGGGTCCCTCACGTATAAGGTGTGGAGCTTGGAAAGGCTCATGTTGTGCATGGACAGCATCTGCACCGAAGGCTTAGTGAGAAGTTTCTCATTCAGCAATGGCTGAAGGGAAGCATAACATTCCAGATTAGAGCAGGTGAGCACAGGCCTCGGGTCCTCCACTGGATCAACCTCCAGAACTGTGCACAGATCCCTTAGGGCCTTTGCATTACCCAGGGGGCTATCATCACTGAGCTGCCGCCAAATGTAAGTGTTGGCCAGGTTCTTCAGTTTGTAACTCCCAGCCTTGGGGATCTTCTCTTTAATCAAGGGCAAGATGTCTAGGAAACCAAAGACAGCTGCACTAAACTCCTCTTTCTTGCTAAGGAGATCCAGGGATTGAAACAGGACAGGAAGGGCTGGTGACCAGAGGTCATGCCCTGCTAAGATGGGTTTGTGGACAGAGCAGAGGTAGCGGAATAAGGTCTTCACACCAATCTCACAGATGCCGCCTTTTGAGATCAAGCCAGGCAAAGATTTCAGCGGCTGAATCAAGATGGTAAAGCTCTTTTCTTCGTCCACCACAGCCAGCTGAAGGACCTTATTCACTGCTGGGAGTGAAAAACAGAATTAGTCGAGGAAACTAGAACACTGAGTGAGCTCCTCACCTGGTGTAACTATGGACGTCAATGGAGCTACAACTATTAACAGCAACTGGGGATCTGGCCCATTCCAATTCTCCTCATAGCCTTCTCCAAGCAGGTCACCAATGTCTGACATCTAAGTATAGCTTGCTGCATCAGGGATGCTTCAACTAACTCTTCCCATTTAGAGTATCAACTGCTATCTCTGTAGCATCGTGTTCCTGGGAAAGGGGAAAGGTGTCTCTCTGACGCTGCTATGATGGGGCATCTGAGGTGCTTGAAAAGCAGGTGCTTCCTCCCTCGAATCTGTCACTTCTGAAAGGGAATGGCTGCTCCAGGAAGTCCTGTGGCCATTAACCTAGAGCCCTGCATGATCATGTGGAAGGTGCACTGGCCACTTGCACCTGACCATCCTTACATAAAAATATTCATGTCCTCATGGACTTGGTGCTCCTCCCAATGGCAGAGCTGCCTCGCCATGCTGGAGAGCATATTGCACCCTAATAGGGACATGGCAGATTATACTTTCCCCAGCATGACCAGGAAGCCCCATGACATCTGGCCTGCCCCCCTATCCCCCGATAGGGCTGTTGCTAAGTGCAGTGATCTTGCCCCAATGATTTGCAGGCAAGATTCACATTTGCCTTTGAAACAGAAATTCTCAGGATCTTACTCAAGAACTTGAGGTCGAAGAAGAGCAGTGATGCTTGTGCCTGGGCAGCACAATATGGGGAGAAGGTGACCAGCCCTATGTGGAGAAAGAAGTGGTTCGGGATTATTTAGAAAAACTGGACGTGCACAAGTCCATGGGGCCGGATGCGCTGCATCCGAGGGTGCTAAAGGAGTTGGCAGATGAGATTGCAGAGCCATTAGCCATTATTTTTGAAAACTCATGGCGATCGGGAGAGGTCCCAGATGACTGGAAAAAGGCTAATGTAGTGCCCATCTTTAAAAAAGGGAAGAAGGAGGATCCGGGGAACTACAGGCCAGTCAGCCTCACCTCAGTCCCTGGAAAAATCATGGAGCAGGTTCTCAAGGAATCAATTCTGAAGCACTTAGAGGAGAGGAAAGTGATCAGGAACAGTAAGCATGGATTCACCAAGGGGAAGTCGTGCCTGACTAACCTAATTGCCTTCTATGATGAGATAACTGGCTCTGTGGATGAGGGGAAAGCAGTGGATGTGTTATTCCTTGACTTTAGCAAAGCTTTTGATACAGTCTCCCACAGTATTCTTGCCGCCAAGTTAAAGAAGTATGGGCTGGATGAATGGACTGTAAGGTGGATAGAAAGCTGGCTAGATCTTCGGGCTCAAAGGGTAGTGATCAATGGCTCCATGTCTAGTTGGCAGCCGGTTTCAAGCGGAGTGCCCCAAGGGTCGGTCCTGGGGCCGGTTTTGTTTAATATCTTTATTAATGATCTGGAGGATGGTGTGGACTGCACTCTCAGCAAGTTTGCAGATGACACTAAACTAGGAGGCGTGGTAGATACGCTAGAGGGTAGGGATCGGATACAGAGGGACCTAGACAAATTAGAGGATTGGGCTAAAAAAAACCTGATGAGGTTCAACAAGGATAAGTGCAGAGTCCTGCACTCAGGACGGAAGAATCCCATGCACTGCTACAGACTAGGGACCGAATGGCTAGGTAGCAGTTCTGCAGAAAAGGACCTAGGGGTCACAGTGGACGAGAAGCTGGATATGAGTCAACAGTGTGCTCTTGTTGCCAAGAAGGCTAACGGCATTTTGGGCTGTATAAGTAGGGGCATTGCCAGCAGATCGAGGAACGTGATCGTTCCCCTTTATTCGGCATTGGTGAGGCCTCATCTGGAATACTGTGTCCAGTTTTGGGCCCCACACTACAAGAAGGATGTGGAAAAACTGGAAAGAGTCCAGCGGAGGGCAACAAAAATGATTAGGGGTCTGGAGCACATGACTTATGAGGAGAGGCTGAGGGAACTGGGATTGTTTAGTCTCCAGAAGAGAAGAATGAGGGGGGATTTGATAGCAGCCTACAACTACCTGAAGGGGGGTTCCAAAGAGGATGGAGCTCGGCTGTTCTCAGTGGTGGCAGATGACAGAACAAGGAGCAATGGTCTCAAGTTGCAGTGGGGGAGGTCTAGGTTGGATATTAGGAAACACTATTTCACTAGGAGGGTGGTGAAGCACTGGAATGCGTTACCTAGGGAGGTGGTGGAGTCTCCTTCCTTGGAGGTTTTTAAGGCCCGGCTTGACAAAGCCCTGGCTGGGATGATTTAGTTGGGAATTGGTCCTGCTTTGAGCAGGGGGTTGGACTAGATGACCTCTTGAGGTCCCTTCCAACCCTGATATTCTATGATTCTATGATTCTATGAGTTCCTTCGGGCTGCCGGCAGGAAAGGCCAGGAGGTCTCCCTCGCTGCTCTCACAATTGACGCTGTTGATGTCGTCTGGCCGACTAGAGTCCTGGGGAAGGAAATGGTGACTTGTTGTCAAAAGCTCCTAAAGATGCCAGAGCAACAGCTCTGGAAATTCATGACCTCTAGTTCCCCCAGAATGGGCTGAGGCACTGCAAACTTACTAAGATTCTGTCTTCGCTGCAGAGTTCATTCGGATGATCGGCACCCGGGGCTGAGCTCCTGGGTTAGCCTAGCCCGGATGTGAGCAGCAAAGCCCTGCCTGGGTTACTGTGTCCTCATGGGTGCTGTGCTCCCCCGTGTGTGTCCCTAGGGCTGTGGGACCGATGGTTCTTAACACAGCAGTGAGCTAAGCTGCTCTAGGATTCTTCCTAGAGAATTGGGGGAGACCTGCTTTATCCTTCTGGGCACAAGGGGATTGTGGGAAGGCAGTGGAGGACTATCAGCACTGGAGTGGTTTAGCGGCATCCTCACTGCAAAGCAAATGGGTTACCCACCTCAGTGAAAGCAACACCTGGGCTCTACCCCCACCCCCAAGCTGGGCAAGCTAGCCTGGGTGTAAAGCACCGCTAAACTCAGTAAGGGGGTTTTGCGTGTGGACAGGATGGGGGTTGGGGCAACACCAAGGGAAGAGCCCAGGTTAACTCTGCAGGGAAGACAAACCCTTAAGTGCTTTGGTAAATCCCATTAGGTGCCTCTCTGCATCGTTAGGTGCTTAAATACCTCTGCCAATCTGGCCAGGGGCATCAAATCTCCTTTGAAAAATCAGTCTAAATGCTGAGCGCCCTACACCGCATGTACAGACAGTGTCTGGTATGTTCCAGCTGAGACAGATCATACTGGAGGTTGCTCTCAGTCTCCCAGCATCTGCCCTGGATGTTGTGATGCCATAGGTGCTCTTGGGCATTATGCCGCACTCACTGTTGACTCTTCATCACTGTCATCCACTTCAGAGCTGTCCAAACAGGGATCATCTGCAAGAGACGAAAAGGCACATCAGACCCCTGAAGGTGTCTGAGTGTGCCAGGGACTGCAGGGGTGTGTGTGCGAGACTAGGGAGTGGTGTGTGTGATAGGTGACCTTCCTTTTTCACATGGTGTACAATTAGCCTGTGGAACTCACTGCCAGAGGCGATCATTGAAACCAAGATCTTAGCAGGATTCAAAAGAAAGACTGAATATTTATATGGATTTCAATTTTGCTGCTTCTAACTTCCCTGACTGTCCCCTTGTTCTTGTATTATGAGAATGGGTGAATAGCAGCCCCCATCTACTTTCTCCATCTCATTCATGATTATGTATGTCTGTGTCACATCTCCTCTCATTCATCTCCGCTCTAAGGTGAAGAGTCCCGATCTTTTCAATCTCTCTTTCTATGGAAGTTTTTCCCTACACATAGCAAGGGAAGGGGGGTGCAGAATTAACAGAAGTTACTAGATCACAGGCCCTGGTTCTCATGGGAGACGTCAATCACCCTGACATCCGCTGAGAGAGCAATACAGTGGTGCACAGACAATCCAGGAAGTTTTTGGAAAGTGTAGGGGACAATTTCCTGGTGCAAGTGCTGGAGGAACCAACTAGGGGCAGAGCTCTTCTTGACCTGCTGCTCACAAACCGGGAAGAATTAGTAGGGGAAGCAAAAGTCGATGGGAACCTGGGAGGCAGTGACCATGAGATGGTCGAGTTCAGGATCCTGACACAAGGAAGAAAGGAGAGCAACAGAATACGGACCCTGGACTCAAAAAGCAGACTTTGACTCCCTCAGGAAACTGATGGGCAGGATCACCTGGGAGAATAACATGAGGGGGAAAGGAGTCCAGGAGAGCTGGCTGTATTTTAAAGAATCCTTATTGAGCTTGCAGGAACAAACCATCCCGATGTGTAGAAAGAATAGTAAATATGGCAGGTGACCAGCTTGGCTTAACAGTGAAATCCTTGCTGATCTTAAGCACAAAAAAGAAGCTTACAAGAAGTGGAAGATTGGACAAATGACCAGAGAGGAGTATAAAAATATTGCTCAGGCATGCAGGAGTGAAATCAGGAAGGCTAAATCACACTTGGAGTTGCAGCTAGCAAGAGATGTTAAGAGTAACAGGAAGGGTTTCTTCAGGTATGTTAGCAACAAGAAGAAAGTCAAGGAAAGTGTGGGCCCCTTACTCAATGAGGGAGGCAACCTAATGACAGAGGATGTGGAAAAAGCTCATGTACTCAATGCTTTTTTTGCCCCTGTCTTCACGAACAAGGTCAACTCCCAGACTACAGCAATGGGCAGCACACCATAGATTCATAGATTCATAGATTCATAGATTCTAGGACTGGAAGGGACCT